AACGTTTCTTATGAACATTCTGAAAATTTACTTCAGTCCTAACTCAAATTTTGAATGAAGATAATTCCCCTAAGTAGATCTGTCCGGAACGCGATCTTGAACTGTGTTTGTCATTCAAGTGTGTTTTCAAACTTCAAGTAGCACTTTAGGATACATATCCTCTCTTCAAAGATTAGCGTGACTGTCATCTTTATTGCTAATCTGTTGAAACCGAAGCGAAATGAACATTATCAGCTGTTAAATTGTCTTTTGAAACACACAAACATTCTTTCTTCTCTCTCTGCCTATAAACACACACACAAACACACACACATATCTATCTATCTATCTATCTATCTATCTATCTATCTATCTATCTATCTATATATATATATATATATATATATATATATATAATAATTTTTTTTTTTAAAAAAAAAAATACAATAATATAAGCCCTACTTGTGTATGGAGCACTGTCTTCTTAAAACTAAAAACAAAAATACCAAGGAACTCCGGATTATGCACCCAACGTGTTCTTTTCTATTTTCTGCATACCTATATTTTTTTATATTTATATATATATATATATATATATATATATATATATATATATATATATATATTTAAAAAAAACAAACTTTCTGTTAAGTTTTAATCTCCCACCTTCTCTCGTCTCTTACCCCTCTCGTTAACACTAACATTCGCCCCACACTCTCATACTTACACTCTCTCTAAATTCTATTTTTATTTCCGGAGTTGTTTTTTTCTGTTTTCTTTTTGAATTTGTAGGTCTGATGAATTGGATGGTATTTACGATTCTAATGGAATAAATTATGACCATGGAATATTAGTGTTTAAGCTTTTTTTTTTATATATATATATATATATATATATATATATATATATATATATACACACATATATAAAATATATATATATATATGTGTGTGTGTGTTTATCTATATATATATATATATATATATATATATATATAAATTTAAATTTAGCTTTCCGTCAAATGTTCAGATTTTCATGTAATGTATTTAAATTATGAAAAAAAATGAATGAATTCAGTCGATTTTTTTACACTCGGATTACTGAACCCGAATATTAAAAGTATTGCTTCTTTATTTTGATTAGTATACTGAGTAATTCATATATTCTTTCAGATTATAATAATATTATACACAATATAGTTTTGAACTTACCTGTGTGTTCGTTCTAGCTAAAAAAAAAAACACATTAAAATGTCATCCTCTCTGAATTTCATAAAAGTTTCAACCCACAGAAAAACCTATCCAATTCTTTTGTGGGGTCGACGCATTGAGTGAAAAAAAAAGATGCAGGGAGCGTTTTTCCGTATCTAAACTAGGACTCTTAGTCTAAGAGATGAACAAAAAGTGCGTCGTACCAAAAATAATTCCGCGCATTTGGAAGCCTCTGTTACAGGATCTCGTGTCGCTACCTCTTTGGATCTCAGGGAGAAATTCAATATTTAGCCATCCGACAATCCTACGCGAATTGAAAAAAAAAAAGATCGAAAAGGTTCAGTAGTAGGAAAATGGTTCCAACACGAACTGTCTTCAAAGAATCGCCAACATTTCGATGGTTACGATGCATTGCTTACAAAAAATCCTGCATTTTGGAGACAGCTAATGACGAACACATACTTTTTTGCATCAAAACCTAAAGAATTTTACAAAGCAATAGACGTTATGATGATGATTAATTATTTCTATATAGCATTGATTAGTTCATTTGTAAGATACACGACAAAATCGGACAGAACATTCTTTACAACATTACACACACACACACATTTATATATATATATATATATATATATATATATATATATATATATATATATATATATATATAGTGCATTTTCTCCGCTGTGGTAACTACTACCCTCAAAATGGTTGTTTATGGTGTTATTTAAGTCAGAATAATGCAATGACTGGCTGTCTCCATTTGCACCGGAGTTGTTTATGCTACACATTCCCTCTTCTCAGGTTTAAAGAGGCAATATATTTCCTCAGAAGATGGTCTGAATTCAGAGTTTCTTTCTCTTAGACGGGCGATAGTATATGTTGGTCTTGCGCTGCCTTGTTTACATGGTCCAACAACGCTTCTCTCAGGAGTACCAACAAAATCCAAAGTAAAACAGAGCCTGACAGGCTTGTTTACATGAGTTTGTCGTGTCCACTAAAATATCAACTACAATATTTATAAACCAATCACACTTAAGAAAACACTTACATCTTAAAACACACCAATAAAATCAAAGATTACAAATCAGAATGTTTGTTGTATTAGTCATCATCATTTTTAGGTAAATATCGACCAAATATCGTACGGACGTCGTAGAAGACATACCACGTGACTTCTTAGGGCCAATTAGAAATAAATAAGTAATTTAATTCTGGAGCCGATATTGTTCGGAAAAAGTGTATAAAAACATACGAAATCCGTTCCCAAAACAATATACACCCAGCTGCCAGCAAGCTACACACACCTTTCGCCGATGATCTTCATGACCTCATGTCAAAAACGACAGCGTTAACAAACACCGCCAAAAGTAAGAAACAATTCGTATCTCTAGTATCCGTTTTTACTATGAATCACGCACACACATGTTGACTTTTTCATACAAACACACACATCACAACATTTTATTGTTTCTCACATTTTATTGTTTGTACACAAAGACAGTTTATATTTTATTTCAGAACTTTATCAACCCAAACAAAAGACATTACTTTCCTATCGTTATATTAAATCAATGTTTATTTGTTGAAACTACGTCGTCTTTTCTACTGAATTTTATTCCTTCAATGAAAAGCGTTTGATTATTCTAGACGGCCAAATTACGAGCGACCCTGTAACGATATTTTATTAACGTATTGAATCCCGACACTCCAAATTTTAATATTCAACGAAAAACCGAGTAGAAGGATTCCTACAAGTTGCCAGAAAGTTGGCAACGTTGACAGCTGAGTGCCTTCGGGTTTCTACTTCAGGTTTTCTCTATGGATTTACTTCCATCGTCTTTTCCATGGTTTGGATATTACAGCAAGGGTGCGGAGGTTTAAAATCAGGGGTTTCCTTCACTTAGATGAACTATTTCCTAGGCAATCGAGCAACATCTACCCGACACACACACACATACGAAATTTTGAAACAAAATTATCGGGCAAAAATCAAAGACCTCAAATGATAGAAGAATGGGAATTTTATTTATTGAAAGTTAAAAGGATACCATTTTATCAACTACAACCTTATAGCAATAAACATGATCCAAAAATGTGAAGAAGATTCCTAGAATAACAGCTCCAGATGATCCCCATTCAGTTGAATGAACTGTTGAATGCAAATTTGTTGATAACGGGGTGGGGGACATACTCCTTCTGGGTGATCGCTTGCATTATCTCAGCGATGGCTGGCATCAATACAGCAATGATGCTAGTTTTACCCTGGTAGATGTTGTCCTTGATGAACCACCAGAAGAAATCTCTGTGTGTCTGTGTGTGTGTGTGGGGGGGGGTCAGATCAGGCGAATGAGGTTTCCATTCTACTTCAGATTTGGAGCCATGGCATGGTAAAGTTAGCAGTGTGAGAAGGCACGCACTCCTGCTGGAACCACTGTTTCAACTCAACTTGCTCCTCACGCTCTCATTTTCTCTCTCTCTCACAGACACACACACGGCCGCGCGCACACACACATATATATCTATATCTATTTCAATATATATATATATATATATATATATATATATATATATATATATATATATAAACCTCTGATCAACGGACTAATAGGGGGTGCGTTAAAACCGATTGTCCGAAGATGGGATGGTGATTATTTTTGCGTTATAAAACCAATATAGTAACTAGCAATAGTTATGATCATAATGTAAATACTATAAGCATGTATATGTGGCATACATAAATAAATATATACTTAATGTATATATTAATCAAAATAACAAAAAAGGATATCCCACAGCTACGTTCTCACGCACGCGCTAATATATCGTACTTTATATACTGTACACCTGTCTTTGTTTACAATTGCAAGGGTTGACAGCGGTCTCTTTGAAAACTAATATTCATTCCAGTAAACCCGCTGAAGATTTGGATTTTTTATTTTCCTGTATTTTTTTGTTTTTTTGCCTGTAGATTTTGTCCGTTGCCTCCGAAGTCCGTTGATGAGGATTCGTAAATTAGAGATTTGTCGATATATATATATATATATATATATATATATATATATATATATATATATATATATATATATATATATATATGTATATCATCTTATACTCTATATTATTCTACTTGCAATATACAATATTACAATCGGCATTTACCTGATTTATTTTTTTCATCAGCAATAAATTTGATTCTTGGATTATTCTTTTTTCTTTAATCAACAGTCGTGAATATTTTACAAGTCCCTTTATCTTATCGCGTGCTTGTATTGGGAATTGGTTTTATAATCAACTGTAAAAACAAATCCTGCAATTCTATCGACATAACATGGTATATAACAAGCTGAATTAGATTTAACGAAAGTAAATCACTATATTTACAATGGCAACAACGTTGCGAAAACAATAAGCCAAGGAATCAATACATTTCAATAAATCTTGTTCAAAGACACATGAAAGAAAATAAAAAGAAAAAAAAAACAATAATTCGAAATTTCTGTTCCCCGTTGTCCATTGCGCATTGCATTCAATCGAAATTCGAATTAAGGCGGACGGTTGCCATTTCTGTGTACAAGAAATGAAAAGATTTCGTATCGCTTTGTTTCTCTTCGACATACCAAATCCTGGGCAGCTGTTCTATTTTCTACCAATAAAAATTTAGCTTCATTTCTCTTTAACTGTAAAAATATACATATATCAGTAACTCGCTATTTCCTACCATTTTACCTCACTTTACCTTTCTCTTTATCTCCGTCACGTTAGGTCAAATCAATTGCTAAATCCTTCACTAGTTTTATTAATATCTTATTTTATATAAAATAGATAGATAGATAGATAGATAGATAGATAGGGAGGGATAAAGAGAGAGGAGAAGTGAATAACTAATCCCAACGTCCTAGATGGAGGGGTTCTACTGCGAAGACGTGCGTCACACGACAGGAATTTAAGTTTTATCTCCTTTCACTGAAGGGAAACCACTACTTTGGTCGATCCGTTAACTATTTAATTAATGGCTCAACTCTTCTTGAGTCTTCTAAGGATCTATCTATCTATCTATCTATCTATCTATCTATATATATATATATATATATATATATATATATATATATATATATATACAAACAATGCGATGATGCTACTAGAACGCAGGGGATACAAAGGATTAATTTGGAAGAGAATGGGAGGAAGACATAGAAAAGTTTTTAAAAAAGCCTCAGGCTTCAAGAAGACATAAGATTGTGACTGAAGCGGCATTTATTTCTTTTAGTATCAGGGAAACAAGAAATCTTATCGGAGTTCCCCATGCCCTTCCATCTAGCTAGTTCAAAATTAGAAAGGCATGTTATATCTAGTTGCCAACATAGTAGCCCGCTTAAATTCATGTAGACATAGCACAAGAGAAAAATTCATCAAAGTAGATACCATGAAAATATTTGAGGAAACGACAGAGGGAAACCCCGTTACGTTAGTCAGAAGGAGACTGAAGTCGAGAAGCTTTCTCCGGATCGGTTACATTACATACCCTTCTTTGGATTTTGTTAAGTATTTCTACATGTTCAGCAGGAACACCAGAACAGCAGTATTCAGTGCACCGACGAATGAGTTTTTAGTCTGAAATTATACATTAAACTGAAAGATTTGAGACACGTTTAATGAATCTTACTTATGTTACAAAGAGTAATTTAGCTTTGAAATTAAAGTCAATTAAATTGTGAATTTCTAAAATCGGAACTGTATAAAACAATTTTCTCTACATTGATAATTCTTCGTTGGTTCTGTTAACTCCTCTGTAGTATTCAGATGCATTCAATTTTTAAAGCCGCTCTTAAGCAAATTTTCCGCATGACATCATGATGTCTGTGACGGCACTTGGTCCAGGGTCGAATCCTTTGGTCAGGGCACCAACGGTGACGTCGCTCATCCGGGTCGCTCCTTGCTGCCCCAAGTGTGACGTTCCAATCCCTTGGTTAGATGATTACCAGCCTCGCCTCTCCCAACTCGCTTCCAACACCTGGTTACTAGGGTAACTGTACTGATCTCCGGTCTGCCTACCCACGTTGTGATTAGATCTTAGACAGACGGGATCAAACAGGGATTGGGACCGTATGCAAGTTGAGTTCGACGGGGGTGGCAAAACACAAGTAAAAGAAAAAAACTCACGAGACCAAAAATTACTGATAAAAAAGGGTAACAACCTTTTATATCTAATGTTCGTTACATAAAAATTGTTCTTACTTCCCGACCCGCTTTGTGGACCGTGGCACCAAGCTTCTATTATACAACTTCGAGTTGCCTACTCTCTAGAATTTTGTGTGTCGGAGTGTGGTTTAGTTTTGACACTGGGCGCTAATCTCTACCAGTCGTTCACGGCTGATTCTTCTCTTCGGCTTGAGTTGGACGTATTTCTTCACTTAGATTTGGTTTGAGACGAATTTCTGTTCTTGGGCTTGGTTTGATTTCAACTTCTTCTATGCATAACTGCAAGTAACTTCTTCTTCTTCCGTCCTGCAACTCTTCTCTCTGCCGTCTGAGGTGATCTGAGCTCTCTGTCGTCCGGGGCTGGACTGAGCTCTCTGTTTGGGCTGCAACTTTACTGCCTGTCTGGCCTGCAACTCTTCTTTCTGCCGTCTGAGGTGGACCCTTCTCGCTGCTGTCCGGGGCTGAACTGATCTACTTGTTTGGCCTGCAATTCTTCGGCCTGTCTGGCCTGCAACTCTCCTCTTGTCTGGCCTGCAATTCTTCGGCCTGTCTGGCCTGCAGCTCTTCTTCTTATCTTCGACTTGGCTGCAACTTCACTGCGGCTTTCGAGCAATCTTCTTCTTCTTCGACTTGGGCTGGAAGGATTTCTTGTCTTAGGATTCTCTTGCCCGCAAAGGGGCGAATGAACCGGGCCCGATGTCCGCGTTCAAGCTCCTCGCTGCCCGCGGTCCAGCTGCAACTGATTTCTGTCGACTGGGGTCCTGCTTTTATTGACGCCGCAACAAACTGGGGTGGGTCTGTCGGCGTCAGGGTTTTCTCGATAATTCCAAAAGTCGCGTTACTTCTGATTTCCCATTATCGCTCTTATTTTCACCCCTACTTCCTCACAGTGCCTCTGGTGGGGAGGCGCATACCCATCTCTCCAGGTCTCTCGTATGTCAGGTGACAGTTTTCGACCAATGGGTCTTGATCGAGCGTCCTTTCTCCTCTTTCTCGCATATCACGTGACCGCTTTCGGCCAATGAGATTCTGGTTGGGCGTCTCCTGTACTTCGTGACGTCTCCAATCGGGCGTGGCTTATCCCGTCGTTGTCCTGGGAAAGAACACCTTGCTAAAAAAAAAAAAATCTAATTTGGCCTTTTTTCGCACGTACGAAAAATGACAATCTCGGCCTTTCTCACCTTCCTGGTCTTTGTCAAAACAGCCCGCCGCTAATTAGATGTGACTTCAGGAAGAATTTTCTCCGTCTTACTGGCGCTCTCTGTGAGCCAAGAACAATCGTTTTTCACCTCTTTGTTTTTGCTCAGACCTGATAGTCAAAAATCTTAATTATCTGAATTGAAAATGTCTTCACTTCATCATCGTGGGGGTTCCAATTTTAAACAGGTCAGAACCTGTATACAATTCCAGCGGTCACCTTCTCATCCAAAAAGACACCTTTCTCCGATTAATATTTCGTTTTCCATTGTTCTAAAATCCCATTTCTCCAAATTGATAATGAGTCTTCTACACAAAAGTAGGCCAGATGCTTTGACCGACATTTTTATCAATCGTACATATGTTCATACACTTTTACCAAGCCTGTTTTCTTTCTTTTTTTAATTACCTTTAATTCTATTCTCCCAAATAACAATCTCCATTGTCACTTGAAATTCGGTCAGGCGCGTTGGCCTCTTGACACATATTTTTTCGCTAATGACCGGCCTTTTGCATTACTCATTTTCTTTTTTTTTTTCCTTCTTTTTTTTTTTTCTTCCCTTAGGATCGCCCTAAGTACAATTAGAGAATTATTCTCGAAACTCAATTATTCTTCGTCTAAAAAAACTAACAACTGGTTAATAAACCGAATAAAAAAAATTAAATCATATTTCTATGAATATTTCTTTTCTTTATTTTTTTTTTCTAATAATGCAGGGTGCCACAATCCTCCCCTAACCGATTTGTCATTTACCCGTAAATGACACCTAAACACAATTACATCATTTAACATGCACCATGCATTTGTCTCATGCAATTCTATTCTACTTTCTAACATGCAAGGGTAATATTCTTTTCATGCAATGTAATGTTCTTTTCATCTTTTTTTTGTTCTACATGCAAGGTAATGTTCTTTTCATTTTCTTTTGTTCTACATGCAATGTAATGTTCTTTTCATCTTCTTTTGTTCTACATGCAAGGGTAATGTTCTTTCCATTTTCTTTTGTTCTACATGCAAGGTAATGTTCTTTTCATTTTCTTTTTGTTCTACATGCAATGTAATGTTCCTTTCATTTTCCTTTTGTTTACATGCAAGGGTAATGTTCTTTTCATTTTCTTCTGTTCTACATGCAAGGGTAATTTTCTTTTCATTTTCTTCTGTTCTACATGCAAGGGTAATGTTCTTTTCCTTTTTTTTTTGTTCTACATGCAAAAGTAATATGTGCGTGTGTCTGTAGGTGCAGATGTGTTCACTATGGTTTTTTCTTCTTGGTCAATGTTTTCCTCTCCGCTGTGGGAGGTTTTTCCGCCGCACGTGGTGGTCTCACGCCAGCCTCCTCCGTTGGTCTTTCAGCAATTTCTTCGCCAGTCCTGTCTGAGTAAGGAACTCTGCTCGGCATCTCCCTCTCGAGTTGCTGCATGCTCACTAGATTGTCGTTCGCTAATCATCTCTTACTCTTAATCTTCCACATTAATACACCTCCGATGGTTATAACTAGGAATGTACCCATTACTATTGACCAACTTATCGCGATCTGCTCATCGTCTTCCCAAGCCATACCTTCGTTTCCCAACGCACTTAACTTATCTCTTAATTGATCCATATCGATCTTTTCTATTGGCTTCATTAATACTGGCATCTTATTTAAGGTAACATTAGAGAATCTCTTCACTATCGGCTCCCATAATTCTGTACAATTGACTAAGCCTCTACCAATCATCTCTATGAGTGAATCTTTTTCTTCACATCTTTCTTCTTTCTGGTATATCTCGAATATACTCTCGCTATCTAACAACGGAACAGATATCACAACCAATAATCGCCTATTTTCTAACAAGGTCACACATCCTAGTGCATTATAATATTCCCACAATTCTTTACTCAATTATTTCATAACTTCTTACTAAGTTCAGCTCTTCCCTCCTCTAACTAACCTCTAGCAGGCAGAATGGTCCGGTCAGGTGTGCGTGGCGCTCACTCTAAAGGTCGTACTTCATGACATCACTGATGGTCAATCAACAATGCCAATAATCTTCTTCCATCCCTTGTGAGGTGCAGCTCTCTCCCTGATCTCATCTTCTGAGGTGATTCCTGCTCAACCTCTAACCTTCTTTCTGTGTTTAACTCCCGTCCAGGAGGTTTTTTGTCCTCTTCTTCATCCCCTGATTCTTCTTTCTGTTTAGAGTCTTCGCCTTGAATGTCTTCAATACCCCTCGACTCTATGTCTAAACTCCTCCTGTTCCTTATCCTTTCCTTGAGCTGGGAAAGGGGTATTCGATCCTCCTCCTCCCACTCGCTGGGTCCTTCGTCCTGTTCAGGGTGCCTCTTTTTAGAGCCTTCGACTGCTTGATTGGACATCCTCGTCTTTTTTCTTCCTTTTTTCTTCGGACATGGGGGTGTGATGGCGATCTCACGGGGTCTTCTCTGCACCGATTCAGTCGACGACTGAACATCGCCAATCCCCGCTGAGGGTTCCAACTCTGTCCTCGGACTGCTTCGTTTATCTGGCCAAGTCG